TAAAAAAAGGTGTGTAGTGTTATAACTGTGAAAAATGGGGTCACTCGGTCAAGAATTATTGGTACAAGAAAAGCAAGAATGAAGGAGCAAACCTTGCATGCTAAGATTCAGATGATCCTGAAGATATGGTGGTTATAGATGTAGTTGCAGATGACTATGTCGACACCAAGATCTGGTTTCTCAACACAAGTTGTTCGAATCACATGACTGGTCAAAAAGTGAGGTTAGCAGATTTCGACGAGTCGAAGTAGAGCAATGTCAAACTTGCTGATAATAGCTCATTGTAAGTAGAAGGTACTGGCGAGATAGTTATTCAAAGGAGCAATGAAAAAAAGCTATGATCAAAGATGTACTCTATGTACCTGGAATGAAGTGCAATCTGCTAAGTGTTAGACAATTGGTCGAAAAATATTTCTCAAGGGTTATGAAAGGTGGAGCCTTGGAACTATTCGACACTCAAAATAATCTGGTATGAAAATATCCTTTGTCGAAGAATATGACATTTAAGATCATGATCAATTCGACTGAGATAAAATGCCTAAAAATGTTTGTCGGCCACAAGAATAGTTGGTTATAACATTTGAGGTTTGGAGACTTGAATTTTAGGTCACTCAATCAACTAATTACACAAGATATGGTAATTGGTATACCAAGTATTGAGATGTCCGACAAACTCTGTGAAGGTTGCTTAGTAGGGAAGCAATCCAGAAAGTATTTTGTTTCGACTATGCCAATGAAGTCATCTTGCATACTAGAAGTAGTACATTCAGATGTATGTGGCCCATTTAAGGATCATACCATTGGTGGAAACAGGTATTTTATTTCATTTGTCGATGAGTATAGTCGAAAGCTTTGGGTCTATGTGATCAAGCGAAATGTCAAAGTATTTGAAATCTTTAAGACATTTAAGATTCTTGTCAAAAACCAAAGTGAAAAGAAGATCAATGTTCTGCGAATAGGTGGAGGTTGCGAATACACGCCCAAGATGTTTGAATATTTCTGTCCAGAATATGGTATCGACCATGAGGTAATGACTCCTTACACGCCTCAACATAATAGAATAGTAGAAAGAAGAAACATAACCATATTGGTTATGGCGAGATGCATGTTGAAGTAGAAGAACTTGCCGAAGTCTTTATGGGGTAAAGTTGTCACAACATATATTTATATTTTGAATTGGTGGCCTATCAAGAAGCTGAAAAACAAGGTTCCAAAAGAAAGTTGGAGTGGCAAACGACCATCAATGAGTCATCTGAAGGTGTTTGGCTCTATTTGCTACAAACATGTTTCTGATGCAAGTATCTCTAAATGCGATAGACAGATCAAAGATATGTAGTTCTGGATAGAAAGTGTCTGTTTGTTGGTCAATTTTAGCAAAAGATATTTTGTCACAATCGACATAAAAAACATTGCTTTATCCAAAACTCTAATTAATCTTCTAAATAATTACTTTCATTATTTTCTCTTTATTTTAAAGTTATTTTCACTAATAAAAATATATGAGCATTTATCAAGAAAGATATGCAAACAGATTGAGCAATGGTGCAAAAAGTAGTAGGCCAAAGAAATTTTTCAACCCAAGGCCCAAAAGGATCAAGGAGGCAAAAAAATCACTAACAATCGATTAGACTCGGGATCTAATATATTAGTAGAGTTCAAATTTCAAATTTCAAATTTTAAAAACTAGCGCACGAAATAATCGATTATGGGTATGAGATAGTTAATTAAAACATTGGAAATCAGTGTAGCAGCTAGTTCCCAACGTTCACCCACACCCATTCAATGACCTAATTGATTACATGGGGGTTCTAATCGATTAGGCATGGGCTATAAAAAAGTAGCTTCTCTTTCTTTTTGTTATTTTATCCCATCATATTATGTGTGCATTATCTTAGTGTTTTTAGAGCAAATCTTTCTTTATCTCTTCATCATCACCATATGGAACCCAAAAGAGCTCGTACCATCCAATCTTAATCCTCCTACGACTCTGAAACCTTCTCAAAACAAGATAAAGAAAAAAATACAATCATTACTATGCTGATAGATAGCTTTTTGAGTCTCTATACTTGGATAACAAACTCTTTAAAGAGTAAAACTTTGTTGAAGCTTTTGTGGTGGCAGGTTTGAGGAACTTTTTCTTTGAATTACCCCAAGAAAGATTTCCCGCCTTGGTAAGATTTTTCTACACAACCCTGAATTACACAAATGAAATTCTAATCCCTGAAGTGAAGAAGCACTCAACTCAACTTACCTTTGAAGAGTTCGCACAAGTTTGCAATCTTCCTTACAATGACTTCAACTATGATGAAAGCTAATAAGGTAATGATTTTAACTTTTATCTTGTTGTTGTTTACTTTTTTTACTCAACAAACCTTCATCATTATCAGTCCCTTCATCGTTGGCTTAATACTCCCATATATTCGATTAATTCACTATATGGTGAATCGTGTTCTTTTCCCAGGAAAGAGTAACTTTAACCACATAAACAAATTCGACATACCTCGTGTTTGATTTTTGGAAAATAGAGTTGAGAAAAATTGGATCAATGTTGTGATCTATCATATGATGTATAGCAAAAAATAAGAACACACTTTTATCATATAGTGAATTAATCAGGAAAATATTGAAGTATTTTGGCTATGATTTATACGAGGCAAAATCGTTAGATGATAGGCTTCAATCTAGAGGGGGTGAATAGATCACAAATTTCAAATTCAAACTTTTTACAAAATGGTTTTCAAAAGTTTTATGGCACGGCGAATCAAATCGTCTAACCGAACCTCTATCAAAAATCTCGGATATGCGTAAAGGTACAAAATTGAATGAAAATGAACACAAATTGTTCAACAACGATTAATCACAAACAATCAAATGTTAAGCTATATGTAGAGCTTATTTTCAATGATCAAAGTCACAAAAACACAACAATGCAATTTATCGAACACCTTGTGTGCAATTGATATCTTTTGAAAATTTGATTTGTTTTGTTGATCCAAAACTAATCACAATCAACCAGATTATGATTCTATCAACAAAATCTAATTCAAAAATATGATCAAAATTAATTTTCAATCGAATTGGTCAAACAACCAATGAATTCAATAATTTGTTAAGACTAAAATTAAAGAGAGAGAGAGAGAGAGAGAGAGAGAGAGAGAGAGAGAGAGAGAGAGTGAGAGAGAGAATTTGTTTAGGCAGTTCCCCAATTGGCCTCGCTATGGGTATGTTTGCCCTCAATTCGAATTCGAATTGAGATACTTGCAATTAACCTTACTTTGCAAAAAGTGTATATACAAGAGATGAAAAACTCTAACCCTACAAACCAAATGGTTTGTTGTTGATTCTACCACCTCGAAAACTCTTGATCAAATCGCCAACAATGTCGCTTCAATTCACCAATTCTTGCTACTTCTTTGCAAGGCACCTCATTGTCTCAAGGTTTTCACATGGCCGACTTAATGGATTATGTCAACTTCATCAATCTTCATGATCAAGAAAAAATCAAAGTTGATACAACCTACACAAGTCCTTAAAGGATTAGAATACGAGAAAGCTCAAATTTGGCTCTTTAGCATAAACAAGATTTTCGAATGAAAACCAAGTCATTAGAAGGACACATGAAAAAAACCCAAAAAAAAATGTTGAATGACATGTGACAGATCGAGTCATCTCCTTACTGGATTACTTTTTATAATAATACTTGTTCAATCAAAATATATCATGAGTCCATCGTTAAAGACTAATTGGACAACAGTCTCTTACGTGTCACAAACATGTTTATAAATAGTAATGTTTTTTCTTCTTATATAATAGTACTACAATAATGTGCTTATAAGCCATAAATGTGTTGATCATTTTAAAAAACGTTGTAGTGTCTTTCCTTGTCTTTCCTTTTTTATGGATCTCCTTAGTCATAAAAGAGTCTTCTTGAATCAATTTGAGACAAAAACAATAAGAAATAAAACTTGTATACTTAATTATAAACATGTTTTAAAAATCTTTCTTTTCTCTCTAAAGCTTTATGATGATATCATAAATTCTCTATTGAGATACAAATATATTCTACACTTGCCTCAAAATGACAATCTTGTGTATCAAAAAACATATACGACCGACATCAACAGTTTTGAAAGCAAGCACACAATTCTCATCATCGAGAGTGCTTATAGTTTTAATTAGACGATCACACAATTCAAATATCACCAAGTGCTTATAGTTTTAAAGAGACAATCAGAAATGCACCATACGTGGGAGTGCATGCAGTTTTGATTGCATGCAGAGACCCACAGTTTTGAAAGCATGAACTCAATTAAAATCCCACTATCGCATGCTTATATTAGAGAGAAAAAGAAATTGTAAGCTGGCAAATAATAGATAGAGTTAAAAGGAGGTTTAAACAAATAAAACTGGTTACAACAGGTTTTCCAATTGCATGTTGACTCCATTGGTATAACTAGCGATCATAAAAATGTTGAACAAACAAGTGAAATGGAGGAGTCTTAGCTCAGTACAGTCTGACATTGTCATTTAACTCAGAAAACACATTCAAATTATAAACTCAAACTTGTAATGGTGAAAATAAAAATTGTAACAATGGGGAAAAAAAGAACTTCGAAAGCGTTTGGCTGATTTGATTACTCTACCAAATCCAGATTCTAACTTTAATTTCAGTTAAGATACATTTAGTCGGGGCAAAGTCGCAGATTGTAGAAAGTTTGACTACAGAAATAATTAACATACACAAAAGATGTATAAAAAAAAAGGACACTACGAAACAAAATTGCTCAGAAACAAAATCTCCAGTCTATAAAACTCAAGCATCCGGATAGCTTTGACAGTTGGCACTATATTGAGGTGTTGTTACATATGATTAATCATAACAATATTTGCAGAAAAGTGCAAACAAATTACTCAACAGCCATATACAATTGTATCCGCTTCAAACTGTATTCTAGATCGGAGTTTGAGTAAATTCAAACTGAAACTCAGGGAGATGATAGCTATATTTTCGTTTCTTTTTCCTTCAACCATTCAACAAAATTGTCGATGATCACTGGCCAGGCTTGACTGGAATCATATTTTTGCAGCTCAGTAAAGCTTACCTGGCAGCAATAAAATGTCAACATTTTTCCTGAATGCTACTTTCCTAAAGTGCACAACTTTTGCAAAACAGTAATATACACATTATAGACAATTAGAGTAGACATGTTTCACAACAGCAGAGACCATATCATAAATCATAACCATTGAGTGGAATCGGCAATATATATCAAACACCAATATCATAAATCATATTTCTAGTTAAACCATTGACCACCAAGTCTTTATAGTTTCTACCAAATGAGTTTTATTTATTCGAGCTCAAATCATTAATGCTAAATCAAGTTTTATTCTATTAACTAAAGAACAAGCTCAACCTTAACTTAGACCATGATATAATTGAACTGAGTACAAGCTTTATAAGCTTGACATTAAAAGATCATGAGTATGTGTGTCAATAAAATAACAATCTCAACATTAACTTAGACCCTGATATTAATTAACTAAGTAAAAGGTTTATAAGCTTGACATTAGAAACTCATGAATAGCTCACATGGGTGAGTGTGTGTGTCACTAAAATAACAAAAAATGTTCATATTAGATAACGAAATGAGTGTAAAAAAAGAAAATGATAAAATGGGTATAAATAATAAATATTAATAATAATAAATTATATATTTATGGTACTCAGTAAATCTTAATTCTATCTAAGAAATAATTATTCCTTTTACGTTCTTTCTCTTTCTAGTTTTTTACTATATACAAAAGAGACAAAATTAATACATTTACAATATTTCGGGAAGAGAAGTAATAAAGGGCGAGCTAAACTCAAGTTTCATTTTTGTAAACAAATCACCGCCAAGCTTTAAATTTGACTTTTTAAATAAGTGTATTGTGGGGGGGAGATTTCTTTCCTTTTTTCACATGCCAATCATAAGATTCAACTTGAGTTATGTTTTCCATACAAATTTTATTGAATTGTAAATCATTTTAAAATATGAATATTTTGAGGTTATTTTGCAATTGAAAAAGTTAGATTTTAGACCTAACTAGATACCCAAAAACTGACGAAACCAACAGGTAAGGAGGGGATCGTCTAGACTTTATAAGCATTGAAGAGTCATTTTCCCTAGCCTATGTGTAACTTGGGTTTTTTCAAACACCCTCCTTAGCATCCAACAATATTGTGTTTGGTACTGTGGCCAATTAACGTCCAAGATAAACTTTGATACTATTCTAGGTTTTGGACCTTTTAAAGGAAAAAAATTTGGTAAACTAGCTAAATTCACAGATCACAAGACTTATAAGTAAACCACACATAATAGGCAAAATAAGGTGAATTTCTATTACATTAACCAACACATAATAGAATCCTAGTCATCATTAAAGCATAGATAAGGGTAAGATAAGAAAAAAATGGGTGTTACCTCTTTAAAAAACCGATAAAAACTTCCCCAGTGATCCCTGGTTAGCGCTCTGTAATCATTCTGGATCTGCCAAGAAAAACACAACCATCAGAAAATTATTTTGTGAATATGGTTTTAGAATTCTTTAATTAAAACTTTCCGCCCAAACAATACAATTTCCGAGTGCATAATACACAGGGTACTTGGAAATTTTCTCTTCCATCACTTGATTTCATATTAGATACCTTCCAAAGAAAAATATTTCAAGGATGTAACCAACTTTGTATCATGAACGCCACAATAAACAAAACATTATGCATAAGAATGGCCACAAGTATGGAATAATAACCAATACAAGAAAATAACAAATTGACATTCCTCATAACCTAACATGTTTGTGCTGGACATCAGTGAACGCCTATGTTGTTCCCAATTACATACAACTTAAAAGATCAAACACAGAGCTGAGCAGCATAAAGTAGCAACAGAGGATTAAACAAAATAAATACACAAACATCTACTCACCTTTAGATACTCTATTAGTAAATTGACTTGAGAAGGGAATTCCGATCCCAGAACAACAGTTAACAGCTCACATATGGTCTCAATATCTATGCTCCTTTGCTTATCCTCTGGAAGTATTAAACAATGTTTAAACAGATTCATAAAGTGACGAACAAAAACATCAAGGCAGCAATATAATTATGGATCACAACAAATCTGGATTATAGCTGTAAAAATAAACCCACCAATACTAAGCTTACCTGTGAGGCAGTATTGAAATGCATAGGAATAAAAATCTTCAAAGCATTCTGGAACAGTCACCTACCCAAGACACAAAGGAAATAAATTGCATCAAAACCTTCTTAGGGATATCCGTAAAAAATGGCTAGTCTCAACAAGAACACGGTGACTTAAATGAGTATTTTATAGCCGAGAAAGGAAGAAACCTCTTTCTTCAGTCCATTTATTGCTTTTTTTAATTTTGGGTGTGTGTCGACCCCTAAACATTTGAGACCTTTTCGCCATTCATCCTATTCAGAGACAGAAAGAACAGTGAGCAAAACATACCCAAAACCAAGTAATACTATGAGAAGGAAATTCAAGTTGTTTAAAGTGATGATTACATGAATGGGTATCAATTATCAACAGTATAAATGGATTGTAGTTTGGATCATGGCATCAAACAGTCTTGTGTTTTCACACAAGAACCAAAAGTTTTCACACAATTATATTGTTCACTATTTGCTCTTCTTGAGGTAAGAAAACGTACTTCAGATTTTAGGTCAGAGAAAAGTATTTTACACGATATCAAGTTACCTAATTCACTTATATTGATTCCATTGATAGCTACTAATAAATTAAATGAACAAATGAGAAATGGAACCACTCCTCAGCTTGGACTCACACATGCAGACACGCACAGTACAGTTTAAACCACTGCATGCCAAAATCACTCTCACACCATTGAATAACTTTTCACTGCTTAAAAGATTTAGAGCTGGACTCAGAGTTCATGGATACAAAATAACTAGGTACTTCATCAATATAAATCAAGATTAACTTGATATATACTTATAAAATCTATGAAAACAAGAATCATTTGATTAGAACATTACTGTTATACAATATTCCCAAGACTTTAGCACAAAAATTCATGCCAGTGGTATAATAGGTAATATTAGTTCAACAGTCAGATCAATAAAAAGCACGATTTCTGAATATATACAATAAAACATATAAGTATTAAGCAATGCAATCCATAACAAGCATGAAAATGATCACGTGTGAGCAGTGTGCAGATCAAAGAAAATAGCTATTTGTTCAAATTCCACTACACTTCAAGGCCATAGCACCACAATAGTCCCTGTCTGACAATGCAATTTGTTCAAATTTCACTATGCCGTAACACCACAATTTGGCAACACTGCATATGAGTGTGTTTCATGGAAAAGAAAAAGGGGAATAAAGTGCATGCATGCTTGTATATCTCAATATTTTAAGTGTTATGTTACTAAAAAAAGATTGTGAAACAATATTTTCTCTACCAACCTTAGTAAAATAACCCTGCTTTTCTGCTTTCAGTTTCCTGAAAAGAAAGACACCAATTATAACCATTCAAATACCAATTAAAAGTAAAAGAGAAAAAAAAAAAAAAAAAAAAAAAAAGAAGCATAGTCAAATATCTACCAAGCAAGTATCAGCATTCTAACATCTGTATGGTCCACATTAACATCTTTACAGAGTGCTTCAATCCCATCTGGGCTGGCCAACAAAACAAAAAAGTATAAAAAATTGCAACAACAGTCACATTAACATAACAAATTACCATCGGCATAACCAAAATTTCCTTTTTTGAAACCTTGTATTTGGGGTTCCAAAATACTCTTTAAGAAAAACAAGCACGGTAATTTCTCAATTCGAAACTAGATCAAACAAGAATTGATATCAAGAAATAACATAGTTTTACATTTACATAAAATAATAATAAATAACACTATAACAACATACTTACTCAATCAAACCAATTGATTTATTTGCATACAACTCAAACAGGAAATCTATTCGTTCAAATTGCTTTGAAGTTGTTCTCTTCTTCGGCTCTGAATAATAATGAAAAAACAATCAGCAGAAGGAAAACATGATTCCGTTATGACATCAAAATATATTATTAGATCACGCAAGATCGAAATTCATCACATGAAAAATCATAATCCGGTAATTAAAATTAATTGAATTAAATTAATCAGCGATTGTTGCTTTTCGTAATTGTTTCTGATTCGTGATAACGAAGACCAATGAGAAAAGAGGAAACAAGAAAGTGATGTACCTGTACGAATGGAAGAATCGACGTCAGAAGAAGTGATTGGTGGGGCCGCTTTTCGTTTGGGACGAGGCATCTTGGTCGCAGAATGAAAAAATTGATAATCGACGAATGTTAAATCGATGAGGAAGTGAATCGAAAGTGATGATAGAGAAAGAGAAAGAAGAAACCCTAATCACTGAGAATGGTGATATGAAGAGGAGGAAGGAGCATCAGGTCGAACAATGAAGGTTTAGCTGGGGTTTTATTTGATTTGCCGTTGGCTTTTTGATTTGCCCCTGTTAATTATTACTAATTTATTATAATTATAATGTTTGGGTACCAAACTACCGATATAAATTGTGATAAAATTTTAATTTATTTTAAAATAAAATGAAATTAAAAAATAATTTGACATTGAATTATAATATTTGATTAGTTAAAGGTACTAATATCCAATTAAATTAAATAGTAATGAAGTGTTGACTTTTTTATATCATTAAATAGAATAGTAATATTTCTGTTTTTTTTATTATAAGTCGTTATGAAAAAAATATTTTGTAATATAATATAAATTGTTTTATAATATTAATGAATCGTTAATGTTATTTTTTTTATTATACATTTAAATATTTATTATTATTTCTTCGTAAATTTGTCTTTTCAATATTATTAATGAAAACAATTTTATAAAATCGTTCATAATTTCTTCTTTTCATACTATAATTATTACATTTCTTAATATATGTGAAAAGTCAAAAAACAACTTATAATAAAAAACGGAGGGAGTATTAGACAATTTTTTATTGTGTACTCTATTTGGTGGTCGATGCACATTAGACAACTTTTTATCTATTTTATTTAATATATCTATGCAACAAATAATATAACTTTTACTATAACTAGTCGTCTACCCGTGCAATGCATGGGATGAGGATCTTGTTGAATTAGTAATAATGATAAAGTATGCATAAAATTAATTTATAAATTTAATAGATATATTACATAAAATATTTGTCACTCTTTAGATTGAAAATAAATAAAATAAAAGAGAAAAAATAAATAAATAAATAAATAAAATAATACACTACATATGTTTGATGTTAAGACAAATGATAAAGATTTAACATTGATAGTCAAAGTTTAGTGAAAATAATAAAGAATAATATATCAGTAAAACATATTTTAAGTTTTGAAAGACTTCTTTATAAACCACATTTAAAATGGCGTTTGTGTCTTGACTGTTATCGGTAACTATTAATAACTTCAAATTGTTCCTTAAAGCAACTCTTGAAATGGAAACATATAATTGTCCATGTGAGAAAACATAATGTTTAAGATAAACTCCAACATGCTTCAAAGATTGTCCTTGACTTTTATTAATAGTCATTGCAAATGAAAGTATTAGAGTTTGGCCTAACACAATCTTACAAAACCGGTTTTGTAAGGTTGTGTTAGACCAAACTCTAATATGGTATCAGAGCCTATCAATCGGACCTTGGTCAACCCACCGTTTAAAATTCACGTACCAAGCCCAAAAAAGTGTTGGACGTGAGGGGGTGTGTTAGGAAGATCCTAAAAGTCTCACATTGGTTGGAGATAGAGCATTGAAATAGTTTATATAGAGTGACACCCCTCACCTTACCAACCTTTTTTGTAAGGTTGTGCTAGGCCAAACTCTTATAGAAATGATTAAAGGGAATTGTCGTCGCTGAAATTTGAAAGAAATTATTGGATCAGAAGGTGTTAGTGACAACCTAAGTATATACACCTTATTACCAATATTTCTTCCTAATAGAATTCTTCCTTCAAGCACATATTTTTCCATTTTTGTGATGATTAGTCAAGTTCTGTTGCACAACCAGAAGATTGATCTATATTTCTCAATAACATTATGGTACTCCAACCTTGAGTTTCAACTCGTAATTTGGAAGGCCAGAAGCACTAAATGTGTTTAAAAATTCAGGTGTATGTACATCATTAGGGTAAATGCTTATATATGTTCTTAACTCACTGAGAATCAATGATAACATGTACTCATTAATATCATCAACAATTTCATTTTTTTGGGCGAGTATAGCTTGGTCTTGAAAAAATGTTGGGTCGTTCATGTTATCCAAAAAGAATGGATAAATGCTTTGAACAATAGATGAAATTGAATCAGTTGAACTTTTAATGAGTAAGTCATCTAGAATTTCAAGTGTTATATAGTCATCACTTTGTTCTCCATTTGTTCCATCACCAATCCCTAACACCCAATCAGAAAATACTTTTCTTTGTCTAACATCAACATCAATGCTTCTAGTAAGTAGCCTCATATTTGTATGCAATGTTAGGACTTCACAATAATTCCAAAGATATGAGAAGTTAATGGTATCATGAACCACGTCTTGTCTTGTTCCTTTAGGAATAACTGGTAGAATTTGTCTGAAGTCTCCTTCAAAAACAATAACCTTTCCTCCAAAAGGAATATTTAAATTTTCGTTATTACAAAAGCGAAGAACATCTATGAAAGTTCTATCAACAGCTTCAAAATAACACTAATGGAGCATTGGTGTTTCATCCCATATAATGAGTTTTGTTCTTGCTATTAATTGTGCTAAAGGGGTATTTTTGATCAATACCGCAAGTGGAATACTCATCATTGTCTAATGGTATAGAGAATCTTGAATGAGCTATTCTTTCTCCAGAAATAAGCAAAGAAGAAATTCCACTTGATGCCACTGTTAACACAATATCTCCTTTCGATCTTAATGATGCTGACATAGCCCTCCAAATGTAAGTTTTTCCAGTACCACCATACCCATACAGGAAAAATGTGTCTGGTTTATTTTCTTCAACTCGTGCCATAATTCTGTCATATACTATTCTCTGTTCAGTAGTCATATTTGACATCAATTGGGTATGTTCTAAATTCAAAAGTTGTCTATCACAATTTAACTCATCATAAATGAGTCTATTTTGGCTTTCGAAAGTAAGAGATTATTTGTTTGAGGCAATGTGGGAAAATCACTTAAGATCTTGTTATTGCTATGTAACAATGATTTAATATCTGCTAATACAAATTTTTTTATCTCATCGTCTGATAATTCCAAATCTGCCATAATAATAAAATAAATTTAGTAACATAGAAAATACAGGTGTATGTACAAACATATCTAAGTTTGTTCCATGTAGAATTGTTCATGGAATAAACGTTCCAACTGGGTCCAATTACAGATTGAGTTAGGGGGTAGGGTTGTAAACCAGGTGAAAGCATTTTTAGTGAGAGAGCTCAAAAATTATTTTATCCTAAGACTTTCATCATTTGTAATCTCCCCAGCCTCAATCATATACCGGGCTACGTGTTCGACAGTAGATTCAGTAGTATCTCCTGAAAACTTGGTAAACAGTAGTATCTCCTGAAAACTTGGTAAACTTTGGCACCTTCGTCCTAGGAGGTAATTCTGACTGAAGAATATAATCTACTATTGGTGACGTATAATTTGGCCTAGTAAAACTAGAATTTACCCCATTTCGAGCCATTATTCTTTTGACCATGGCTGCTAAGTTATTATCGACAACTATGTTGTTACGTCGAACTTATTGTATTACATGGTCAGCATCCTGGTTTCGATTCACCATAATCACCTCTGGTTCTCTCTCTACGTAATTGGTGCTTGGCCCCTAGGCGGTTCAACCCTAAGAGGTTCGAGTCTAAGGGGTTTGACCCTTCCTTGATTTTCTAGATTCGCCTCAGGTACGTTCCTTAAGTCCCGTCGTGGAATATTTTCCACAACAGTTGTGGTTCTAACAGCGGCCGGTACACCCATAAAATTTTCCAAGCGTGCCAATTGCACTGCTAATTGTTGGTTAGTCTGGGTAGTATTCTGGATCAAGGACTGGAAGATTTCCCCCATAGTTTGGGATAAGGTTTGTACCATTTGCAGGTTACTCTCATCCATTTGCTGTCTCAAACAAGCTATTGAAGTATTTGTCAGATTAGGGCCCTGAGTGGAATACCCCACACCTACACTTTGATTGTTTTGACCAACATTTATCCCAGATCCTGATCCTTGTAACGGTGAAACCATCACATTCTCTGAGAATACTAGGAGAGCATTTTGGAGGCCTTGCATTACTAACGTTGGCATTCCATATGGTAGGTTTCTTGGTGATGATTGTGAAAACCTTGGACGGAGGAAATGTCTAAACGTCGAAGTTCCCCCTGGCGGAGTTTGGGGATTGGATGCTTATGGCCCAACATACTCCAAAACAGGCTGAGTGTAGGCCCTTATATCTGTCGACCCTGAACCCACCACTGATGGCACTGGTTCAAGCATGACAAGAGGCGGTATTTGTTCTCCTATCAAAGGAACTGAGGGTGGAACTACATCATTCCTAGACACGTCTCGAGGATTAGCGTAACTAGGCTAGGGATTAGAACCATTCCCTTGAAGGTTTGAGTTATTTGGATGATTAACATTTGTCGCCATTTTCCTAGTGTAGTTTCTCCTTGGTCTTTCTTCGTTTGTAGCGGCTATTTTACCATTTCTTAATAACATGCAACGAAGTTTTCTCAAAGACAACACTAACAACTGCAGTTTTGCAAAACTTTTACAAAAAGCTTTATAAACTTTAGTACTATTCCACTGGGAGTGCCAATTTGTTTCCCGTGAAAATTGGAAAACAATCATTGATCTTTCAAATCTAACTTTGGTGACTCACAAGATCGATCCTAAGACATGTGCTAAATTTTAATCTACGGAAAATATTAAAGACTGAACACTTCGACAGTGTTTATAAAGAAAGGTCAATTGAAGTGTATGGTTCGACAGGAATGTAAGAACGTTAAATTGAAAGAAAGGTTAAAAACTTTAATAAAAAGGCTTAAAAGAAACAAAGTGTAACGCTAAAGACGTAAATTGCAAGAAAGTAAAAGATAAACTCTTCTAATACAAAGTGAAAGCAAATTTCATTAAAGCATAAAAATGGTGTTTTTACATTACGTACATTCTCCCAGGACTCTTTTCTCTACACACGGATACTTTGAGTAAATTTGGAGTGACTTGTACAATAGTAAACACAACACACTGAATCCTATTGCTAGAACCCCTA